CACTTGACTTCACTCTCCAGGATGTCTGACTCAAGGTCAGCAACTACATTGTCTGGGTTGTCCGGGATGTCCAACTATTTCTGATATAATTCCTCTGTGTATCCTTGCCACCTGTTCTTGATGTCTTCTGGTTCTGTTAGGTCCCTGCCATTTTTGTCCTTTGTCATTTCCATCTTTGCAAAAAAGGTCATATGTATCACATTCCTCAACAAGTCTTGATCACAGGATAGTTACACCAAATAAGATCTAAAATCAGTTCCCTAAAATTCACATCTATAGCAAACATAATCAGTGTCAAACATGGTGTATCACAACTAGAAGATGTTTTCTGGATCATCTGGAAAATTCTACTGATGAGGCCATTTGTATGGACCATAGAAGCTTTGTCTGAAAATCCCCTGATAATACTATGAAGTTCTTGGTTTAACGTTGTTTCCCCTCTTTGGGGCTACTGGAACTCTCTTGAAGCCTATCAGTATCTTAAAACAGTGGTCCCCAACCTTGCGCCTCCAGATGCTCTTGGACTACAACTCCCAGAAGCCTTCACCACCACCTCTGCTGGCCAGGACTTCTGGGAGTTGAAGACCAAGAACATCTTGAGACCCAAGGTTCGGGACCACTGCCTTAAAGCATTCAATAATATGGAATAAAAAATACAAAGAACACTTGGCACCCCACGTCTAGCTACCACCATGTGTTTCTTCTTTTTATTTTTTCTGGAGCTGAGAGTAGCTACAACGTCCTAACTCCAGGCAGAAAAACAGTGTAGAAATAAAATGTTCATTTTAAAATTGACATTTTTAAAATCCAGATCATACTCTTAAATTATTACAGATGAGGGAGTCAGTAATGAGTTCAGACACAAGAAGTGGGTTTAACGTTGACCATGCCTATTTAAATAGTACTATGAAGAGGCAAGGTGTGAGACCTAGTGTCAAGGGCAAGGTATTTGTGGGACAGGCCTCCCTGACAAGGCTGAGCAAAGACCATATGTTATTTATTACACATTTGATTGACACTGATGGTGTTGGGGACCTTTCCTGTCACCACAAGCCCAAATCTTACAACTCTGGGTCAGTGGTTCCTGGAAGTGATCCTCAGTGTGCCCCTGGGTCCCTGAGCCCTAAATTGTAATCCTCAGAAACAGATGATCAGCATAACTGTGTCTATGTGTGCTTACCAGCCCTATCTCTTCACACAATTGCTGCATAAGTTTGCAAGTGAAGACTGAATGTGACTAGATTAACCTGAGACCAAAGGTAAAAGACATCAAATGGTTAACCCAAATGGCCAAATTAACCTGTGAAATAAAAGCTCTGCTGCAGATTAACCTAATGTGAAATAATTGACCCGAGGCAAAGCCTTTCATCCTACCTGGTTGCAGAGTATGTGACAAGTTCACTGTAAAGTGGAAATAAGAATAAATCCTACTTGGCCCCAAAGCAACCAGCTAAACCATAACATGTGCATGCTATAATTTCAAATAAATACACACATGCTGTAATTCCAAAAAAATAAATAAAAGACAGTTGTAGTGTGGAAGATCTGTATCTCCTCTGTCCATTCTTCCTTCCAATATGCAGATCATAAAAGTATGACAGCTCTCCTTCTCCTCTCTCTTTGTAAAGTGAGTTCAGTTGCACTCCTGGAGCTCAACCATCTTTGGAAACCTGTATGTACAACTTCAGCAGATCAGTCACCATGAAAAGTGATTCCTCAAGATTTAAAATAAAATAAAATTAGCCTTTATGCTGCTGCTGCCTAAGTTGATGTGTCATTGGCCTGACAAAGACATCCAGTTGAAATCCTCATGGGTCTTTGGAGTCCTTTTTACCTTTTTTCCCCACAGTGAAAATATTACAGATAAATCACCACAGAAGGAAGGAACAGAATAGAAGCATGATTGCTCCTCGGGTGCGCTTTGGATACTGTCTGATAGAGGCACAGTGAGAGAGTGTGGATGGCGTGAAAGGAGGGCCACCCTTTTTAGTACTGGTTCTGCATTTTCAGTTACTGAACCAACTAACAAGTAGGGAGAGAGATCTTGGCAAGTTTTCCAAATGGATTGTAAATTAATGTTAGTTATTAAAATAATTATATCCCACCCTATATAGAGACAGCTCAGGGAGTGGTACAGACAGTAAACAACATAAAACAATTTAAAAGCATGTTAAACAAAAATGTAAACCAACTTAAACCAATTCAGCATGATAAAACTATGTACAGAAGTGCATAAATCACCAGGTCATAGTAAAGATAGGGTCACTGAGCCCCTAAAGCCTGGGTGAAGTTCCAAATTTTACGCTGGTGATCGTCAGCATCCATTTTGACTCCAGGAAGAGGGCACTCCACAACAACAACAGTAGCAGCACAAAAGAGAATTGACTATATCAAGTTATGTATCTGATTAGGTTCGTATTTTCTTAGAACCAATTATCAAATTATTTAGAGGAATCAACAGCATCGTCCATAGCAAAGTTAACTCAGATATAAGCTATGTTACAGTTTTTTACTCATGTGTAGTCCATGGCTTCTGGGCTATTTCTGTGAGAGATGTTAATAACCACATAAGACTAACAACCAGTCTCTGTTTAGAGAAAGAAATGGAAATAAATTTGGCATGAAATGGCTTTTTTTTTTAAAAAAAGGAAAAACATTGAAGCTTCCCAGGACCATTTAACACCCTCCCCCTTCAAACTGTCTGGATAACGTTAAATGTATTGTTCAATTAGAGGTGAAGAGAGGGGAGGGAACAATTCTGTCCACATAAATATGTCATGCCCACTATTTATATAGATCATTGTGAGATGTACACACACACACAAAAGAGAAAACTCTAGATTCCTAAAGGAGTGTTCCATTGCAATTCCACTTATAACAGGAATGCAGTGTTTGATAGGATATGGAAATTGTATTTCTGGAAGCATTAATTATGATACAATGGTTGTTTTTATGCAGTGCTAGGTTTATTTTAGAAGAACTACTCAAAGTTCCAAGGAGAAAATAGAAATCAATACTAAGTTCTTTTAATTTTTTAAATCTTCCCATTAGTTGTTTTGGTAGCAAATTATGATAATAGACACTGGCTAAAGATGTCTTGAATCTTTAGTTTTCCTTGAAAATTATACAGATTCTTGATGAGAAATGGCTTTTATGCGTACAAAGCATTTCCTGTCCCCTACTCTGGGGCTGGGGCTTATATTTGAATTCATGCCTGCAGAGGTCAAGAAGACTCTCTCCTGAAATCTTGTCATTGAGAGTGACAATTAACAATATTAACACAGGTCATTCTCCAGACTTGTTGCTCTGGCACTGTAAGCTGATTAAGATATGCTGTGTAGTAAGAATCAATTATCTTGAATCAAACCTGTGATGATAGATTGGAATCTCCGATGGCAATATTTAAAAACAACAACACACAGAGCGGGAATTTCAACTTTCCAGGTTGCTCTGTGACCAAGAGACTGTTGTGCTGCAGTTATTAGGAGGTTCCAGTTGATCACCAGGTGCTTGAGTTCGGACAATGGATTCTTATCTCAATACCTATGCTTGTGTTGTCAGCAATGCTTTTGTGACTGCATTGATAATGTAATTGTTGATAATGTAATTATCACTGTTAGTTCTTTCAGCGTTCGATTCCCCTTTGATCTCACAGTCTGCACATCCAACTTAATTATGCATTTTGTATGTCTGTATGTGTGTGCACACATGCATATACCTGAGCTTTTGGATAACCCTCCATGCATCTGACAAAGTGGCATATAGTCTAAATGGATGTCCTTGTCATGTCACTGACAAATCAGCTTAGGCAGGAGAAGTACAAATGTAAACAACCTCTTGCGTTAGCAAATGTTGTAGCTGTTAAGATGGGACAAAGCTCTTTGTAGTTTGACGCTAATAAATATACTGAATTTATTAGACATTTTATGATTAACAGAACTGATTAACAGAATTATGATCAGTTCCAGAACGTATGCTCATGTACTGTTTACCTCAAAAAAGAGGAGATGTTTGAGTAACCATGCTTAGGACTGCACTGCATCTTACAAGCTGCAATCTTTAAAATATGCATGAGAAAATAAGTCTCACTGAACTCCATGGCTACAGTCCTGCTGGTTTGTGCAACTTCATAAAGGCAACCAAGTGCTGGATCTTCCTCTGTTTGCAGAGTCAATTGTGCAGTTGGCTGCCTGGAAAATTAGGGGTAAAGCATTTTCACAAATGCCTTTAACATATATAGAATATTTCAGTTGGGTTTTGGCCAATGAGTTAACTTAATTTTAGCAAATGCTAAGTTGCTTAATTATCCATTGGTAATTTGTGAAATGTTATTATTTCATCCTTTTGCAGAATTGCAACCTGTTTTGTTCTTGTTCTCTTTAGGTGCAGAAGTGATGCATGTAAACTTGACCGCTTACAACGATGGACACTTGCAGTCCTCATTTTGGATTGTGGATAAACGGCATGTATACATTGGAAGTGCCAGTTTAGAATGGAGTTCACTGGGACAGGTATTTTTAATTGCAGAATCAGAAATAGTTTGAAAAAGATGCAATGACCATTACAAATATTGCCATTGTTGTTTCTGTCTGTGGAAAATGTACATGCTGGTTAGTGACAAAAAAAACTACCAAAAGATTGAATTTGGTGGGGTAAGCTTTTTCCAAAGGAGTGTATTTTTTCTTGCTTGCTTTGGAGTTCACTGGGACAGGTATTTTTAATTGCAGAATCAGAAATAGTTTGAAAAAGATGCAATGACCATTACAAATATTGCCATTGTTGTTTCTGTCTGTGGAAAATGTACATGCTGGTTAGTGACAAAAAAAACTACCAAAAGATTGAATTTGGTGGGGTAAGCTTTTTCCAAAGGAGTGTATTTTTTCTTGCTTGCTTTCTTGCTTGCTTCCTTTTTTAAAGCCCAGTACTGTGAAATATTAATGGTCCTTTTGAGTACTTGAATTTGGTGGGGTAAGCTTTTTCCAAAAGACTGTATTTTTTCTTGCTTTCTTGCTTGCTTGCTTGCTTCCTTTTTTAAAGCCCAGTACTGTGAAATATTTATGGTCCTTTTGAGTACATCATTAGGGATCATTAGGCTACAAGGTTTGCAAATGTCCATGAAAGTCCTTTTTTCACTAGAAGATTTAGGGTAGTAGACCATTGGTCAAGATGGGCGGGGTATAAAATCTAATAAAATAAAATAAATAAAATAGAAATATATAGAAGCAATCTTGTACAGACTTATGTGTGAACTTGATAACAAGGGATTTGTTCCTCAGTAGACACACATTGAATTTTACTTCAGTGTACTTTCTTTTTTCTTTTTAAATTTATCTAAGAGTAGAATAGGGATTACAAAAGGTAAAAGAGAGTGGAAGAAAAGGAAAAGGGTTAGGGAAGATAGGAGAACACAAAATATGTCATCATCTAATCAAATCATATTACAAAAACAGATCCACTTTCAGCTCTTTTTTTGTAGTTCAGTTGCCCTCCAGCTATCCACTTACAGCTTTATTTTAATTTAAATCTGTTATTCCAACACTATCTGAGAACCATAGCCATTTGTGTAATAAATCCCGTTCTTCAATTTCCTTTTGAATTGGGCAGTTATTAATCACATCTAAATCATTATCCATTTCTGTCTCATTCCATACTTTCTCAATAGACTCCTCTTGTTTCAGTGACTCTGTTTTCTTCCAATTTTTGGAAGAGGACAATGAATCCAAAACAACAATCCAATTTTCAATATCACATTTTCTGACTGTAGTAATTGAATAAATCACTGGATAGCTCTTTACCTCATCTATATTACTTGATATCTTACTCAATAGGGGCTTTTCTGGAGTTAATACAATTTTACTTGACTGTGGTTTAGCATCTGATGACCTATCTGATTTCCTATCTGATTAAAACATTCATTTATTTGCTGGAATCCTGCTATTATTATCTTCTGCATGTTAATCTGCCATTCCTTGTCTATATATACATTCCTTGTCTATTTTTTGTGCCATCATTCCCACCCCTGATTTCTTCCTCTCATCCATACACAGATACTATCATATATAATCATATATATATATATCATATATAAATCAACTTTAAGTCCAGAAGCTTAAAGTACAGCCGTGGCAGAATTAGCCTTTTTTATGCAAAAAGCCAACAAAATTCTATTTTCAGGATACAGTCAAGTCAAGCCAAAAAGAGTCCATGATCACCAGATTTCAGTCTCTCCAGCAGATCCCCTTATAATCCAGCTGATATTCTTTCCATTAGTCCAAATTCCCTAGAATCCATGAAGAAAAATTCCAGTCCTGGTCTTCTTGTCTGCTCAACCTGGTTAGTCAGTTTTCGCTGTTTTGTTTCCTCCTCAGTGTTCTCATGTTTCTAAAAAAAGAAACTCACTCCGTCTTCTTCCAAAAACCAGATAAACATCCAATTCAGAGTCCCACACAGACTAATTCCTCCACACTGAGCCGCATTCCCAAAGTTTCAGTCTCATAAATCCTGTACCTCGGTGTTTCCCTCTGGGATTTTTAAGAACAAGCAAGTTTTCCGTGACTGTCCCTCTTTTGGCCGTGAGCCAGCCTGCTGTTTCAGAGACAGTTTAAGAGTCTGAGAGTCAGAGGCAGACTGGTAAGCAAACGCTCGCCGCTTCTTTCCTCCTTTGGCCAAATTTGTTCACTCTGCCTTTTTTTCCCAGCGTATGGATCAAAAGCTTCAATTAATTTTCTAAGCTATAACACTTGTTCTCTTCTCCTCATTGGTACTCACGGTTCAGTGCCAAGAAAATGGCTCCCGCATCCGATTCGTGCTTGAGTGAATCTTACAGATGGAAGAGATACTGGGTTGCTGCCCACTCTCCCCCTCCCGTCGCCACCAAATGCTTCGGAGAAACCTCTCCTGGTCTTTCCTTTGATCCCCTTATCTCTAAGGGAATCCCAAACCGGGCGGTTCCAACATTTTCCAGAGAGCTTCTCTCTGGGGCTGCTGGCTTCACCGTGACAAGCCCCGCCTCTCACTTTCAGTGTACTTTCAGAGGCCCATCTTCTCCCAAATGGATGGCTCCATTCAGCTGACAATCTTATGGTTACAAATATTAATAGAGACTAGTGAAATTTAATTTAGTAGTAGTAGTAGTAGTAGTAGTAGTAGTAGTAGTAGTAGTTTAGTCATTTAGTCGTGTCTGACTCTTCGTGACCCCATGGACCAGAGCACGCCAGGCCCTCCTGTCTTCCACTGCCTCACGGAGTTGGGTCAAATTCATGTTGGTAGCTTCGATGACACTGTTCAACCATCTCATCCTCTGTCGTCCCCTTCTCCTCTTGCCATCACACTTTCCCAACATCAGGGTCTTTTCCAGGGAGTTTTCTCTTCTCATGAGATGGCCAAAGTATTGGAGCCTCAGCTTCAGGATCTGTCCTTCCAGTGAGCACTCAGGGTTGATTTCCTTTAGAATGGATAGGTTTGTTCTCCTTGCAGCCCAGGGGACTCTCAAGAGTCTCCTCCAGCACCACAATTCAAAAGCATCAATTCTTCGGCAGTCAGCTTTCTTTATGGTCCAGCTCTCACTTCCATACATGACTGCAGGAAAAACCATAGCTTTGATTATGCGTACTTTTATTGGCAAGGTGATGTCTCTGCTGTTTAAGATGCTGTAATCCCAAGGCTGACATCACTTTCTTCCCAAGAAACAGGTGTCTTTTAATTTCGTGGCTGCTGTCACCATCAGCAGTGATCATGAAGCCCAGGAAAGTAAAATCTGTTACTGCCTCCATATGTTCCGCTTCTATTTGCCAGGAGGCAATGGGACGAGTGGCAATGATCTTAGTTTTTTTGATGTTGAGCTTCAGACCTTTTTTTTTTTTGCTCTCCTCTTTCACCCTCATTAAGAGGTTGTTTAATTTTTCCTCACTTTCTGCCTTCAGAGTCGTATCATCTGTATATCGGTGGTTGTTGATATTTCTTCTGGCAATCTTAATTCCATTTTGGGATTCCTCCCATCCAGCCTTTTGCATGATGTATTCTGCATATAAGTTGAATAAGCAGGGGGAAAATATACAGCCTTGTCATACTCCTTTCCCAATTTTGAACCAATCAGTTGTTTCATATCCAGTTCTAACTGTTGCTTCCTGTCCCACGTATAGGTTTCTCAGG